CCAATCATTCAAGCAGATGAGTGATTCAAGGGTTTCGACGCACAGTTGATTACACGTATAGTCTTGGATGTGACGACCAGCAGAGAAAGCTCTCTCAGATGGTGCACTTGAAGCAGGCACTGCAAGGTATGTTCGAGCCATGTTTGATAGAGATGGGAAATGTTGGGAATTGGCCTTCCAATAGGCAAGTGGATCACAAGATTCCTCTTTGGTTTTGGCAGCCAAGTAGTGTTCAATTTCTTCTTCAAGTGAGCTAATTGTCCTCCTCTTTGTGGTGAAGAGGCTGGCTTTTAACTTGTTTTGGGATGCCATTGGATTGACTTTGTTATTTGGTTGATCTTTATTGTACTGTTCACTAGTGAATTGCTGAGCTTTGTTTTTGAAGATCGAAAGAATTTTTGGCATGTTTAAAGCCATTGCCTCTAGAACTCCTGGCTGATCGAAGGGGATTGTTTTGATTCGAGGATTGAGCATCGTTGAACACAGATACACCGGTTTTTTGATAGTGGCATGAAAGTAGCTCTTCAGCTTACTGAGCATCTCGTTGGCTGCAGGAATCATTTCCTGCGCATCATATTTCTTTGATGCCTGTTCACTCGGGAAGGAACAAATCTGATCAGCTCTCTTGATTTGGTCTGTGAGTCAAGTTCAAGCTATTCTTACATTGTCCAAATCTCTTATTAACATGCACCAGGGGAGCTTTGGGGGCACTCTCCAGGGAGTGCCTTATCTGTAACTTTTCATGTGACTGTGTCTAATGTATAGTATTTCATTAACATAACCAAGTGTGAATGGTTTTTGAAATCAGGTAGAAATCATCCGAAACCCAGCTGGTACTCATCTGAAACTCAATTGCAACTAAAATGGGCACATAATACAAATTGGCTACAAAGTTTTGTCATCAAAGTGGAAAGCATTGCTCAAACACTTTTCATACCAGGGGGTTACTTCCAGCTGAATGGGGCCAGAAATGTTCCACCTTCATTTTATGGTTGGACATACTCCTCTTGTGATTGGTGTGTGATATGTCACCGCATTGAGCTTGATTGCAATGCGGCAACATGTCATGCACGTTTCACACCAAAGGGGCACGTCCATCTGAAAGGTGTCTGAACTGTGACACCCTCATGAATCTGTTGGACATTCCCCTCTGGTCTCAACAGTGTGTGATATGTCACCCTATTGTACGCGAGTACAATAGGGTGACAAATCATAGGCTGTTCTGAAGAGGAGGGGCATGTCCCCTGGGTACACTCAGATGGACATGGCCCTCTGATGTGAAAAGTGTGTGATATGTCACCGCCTTGCGCTCGAGCGCATTGCGGTGACATGTCACGCACGTTTCACACAAAAGGGGCAAGTCCATTTGAAAGGTGTCTGAACTGTGACACCCTCATGAATCTGGTGGACATTCCCCTCTGGTCTCAACAGTGTGTGATATGTCACCCTATTGTACGCAAGTACAATAGGGTGACGAATCATAGACTGTTCTGAACAGGAGGGGCATGTCCCCTGGGTACACTCAGCTGGACATGGCCCTCTGATGTGAAAAGTGTGTGATATGTCACCGCCTTGCGGTGACATGTCACACATGTTTCACACCAAAGGGGCATGTCCATCTGAAAGGTGTCTGAACCGTGACACCCTCATGCAACTGGTGGACATTCCCCTCTGGTCTGAACAGTGTGTGATATGTCACCGCATTGCGCTTGAGCGCAAGGCGGTGACATGTCACACACTTTTCACACACAGTTCAGACCAGAGGGCGATGTCCTGCTGAGTGAGGCCCAAACTGTGTCACCCTCATGTACACAGGGTACATGCCCCTGTTCTGAACAGCATGTGACTTGTTGCCCTATTTTAATCATGTACAATATGGTGAAAAATCACACACCTGTTACATGACTTTCAGACCAGAGGGGCATTTCCAGCAGAATGGTTTCTGAATGGTGTCAGTCTCATGAACCCAGTGAACATTGCCCTCTGGTCTGAACAGTGTTTGATAGGTGTGTGATATGTCACCGGATTGCGCTCGAGTGCACTGCGGTGACATATCACACACTGTTCAGACCAGAGGGTTTTTCCAGCTGAATGGTGTCTGAACTGTGTCACCCTCATGTAAGGTACTTTAATTGGAAATGTAGAAACAAAATCATGACTGAGTTTGACTAGAATGCAGCATGGCTTCAACAAACGTGAATGATAGTTGGCAGTGAATAGTTACATTTTATTTAACAAATATATTGTGTTATATAATGAAATAGTTCAACAAAAACATGGTAATGACTTCAAATGAACTTCAGGCAAAAAGTAACAAAGAATTAAGCTATGGCACTCCCTGGGAAGTGCCCCCAAAGCTCCCCTGGTGATGATGTATACAGGTGCGGCAAGCATCATAGTCGTTGTGTTTTCTGGTGAGATTGTCTCTGTTGCGTCATTGAGAGGCTCCAAGAAGTCGCACAGCTGGTCGACTTTGTCCCATTCATGCGGTTCAAGATTGTACTGATCAGTCACGCTATGGGTGTCACAAAATACTGAAATGCAAGTCCGAAGTTCAGATGCCCGCTTGAGCATAGCAAATGTGGAATTCCATCTCGTTGTAACATCCTGGACCAACGATATCTTTTCCTGTTGTTGAGGAAGGGTCATATTTTCACACGATGCAGCTTTTTCCGGTCGATGACGAAGGGTGATCTTTTCAAACGATGCCGCTTTCTGAGGCAAGTGTTTTAAGAGTGAAGTGAGACCTTTGATTCGAGAGATGATAGACTTAATTTCGACCGGAGAAGGCTGAATGTTGAGAATGTTCACTAGACCCCCCGGCAATGCTGTTGATGGCGGTGATGATTGGGAGAAAGCTTTGATCCCACTTTGAGCAGCTAGATTAATCACATGAGCCATACAGCCCAGTTGGCAGTTTTCGTTGTCAAAAGGAATCAGATTTGCGAGGTGCGCTCCCATAGTTCGGTTGTTTGAAGCGTTATCGGAGGTGATACAGAAAACTTGATTGCATATTTTGAAATCTTCAAGTACTTCGACCAGGAGATTTCCGAGTGAGACTCCTGAGTGATTTCCTTCAACAAGTCGAGCAGCCAGGATTATTGATCTGAGAGAGAAATCAGGTTCAATCCAATGCGCTGTGACTCCAAGTACAGAATCATTCCCTGGCGAAGTCCAGGTATCGCAAGTTAGACTGATTTGTGATTGGATTCCACGCAGTTGATCACGAAGGACTTGCTTTCCCTGTCTAAAGCATTTTCCAATGAAACTAGATATTGTGTCTTTGGAACACATAAGCGCATCGATATTTGGGTTGCAGAGCCAAAGCAATTGATGGAAATTGCTGTCCGAAATCGTCCAGAAAGAAATGTTGCAGGTGACAAAAAATCGGGCAATGGCAGAGATCAAGGAGTCGCGGTCAAGTTTTCTGATGGCACCTCCTTTATCCAAGAATTTGGTAATCGCACCAGTGCTCTGTCTCCCTTCGTATATGTGATGTTTTTGTTCCAAGTGATTAGACATACTCTTCATTGATTTTCTTCTGTCAACTGATATGTGTTTGTGACACAGTTCTCCACCTCCAACCACCATATTTACTTGACAAACATTAAAAGAAGCTCCTCCGACGATAGTTGGTTTGAAGTATTGCCAGACCCAGCTTTTCTCAGTTACATTCTGGGGTAGTGTCTCGGCTGGAATGGGTGTCACTTGTTTGAAGATTATGTTGCTGTTGGTGTACTGGCTGTCAACTTTGTTGATGGTCCATTTTGACGGCATCTTGCAAAAAAGGATTGTTGAATTGTTAAAGTCTGGGTCCTGAAAAACTCCAGCATCCAGTTTTCCAGAGCCCCACTGAAATGACCCGGCGTACCCGAGACCGGGTACCAGTATGCCGGGTTTGGATGTCTGATCCGGCAATACCCAACCCGAGGGCCCGGTTCGACTCCTTATTTCTGTGTTTGATTTTGATGACCCATCTCTGATTTGTTTTTGGGTTTGGTGCATGTTGGGGCTGAATCAAAAAAAATTCTGCCTGTCCGGTTCATTTCCATCCTTGCATGAACTCACCTCCACTCCAGTGCAAGAAGACTGGTCCCTGGTTCAAGGGGGATTGGACTGCTCTTGTTTTTTAAAAAAACAACCTCACTCAACCCTGAGGTTCAAAAATTCACTCACTCCTTCACTCAACTGTTGGTTTGGAATAAAGCTGCTTTGGGCTTTTGGAGGTAACATGGATATCCCAGGTAAATTTTGGTGTTATTTTTTTATTGAATTTTCATTTGAAAATTATCGTGATTGACTCTTCACATTTAGGCTTCATTATTGTGGCGCGCCAGCATGGCAGGACAACTTATGCATGTGAGGCCTGTCCAGGAAGAACCACTTTGAATCCTGTGGAACATTTACAATCAAGAACACATCTAATCAATGCAAGTTTGGTCAAACCAATTCCTGAAACATTGAACCAAGATACTCAAATGTATGCAGCAGTAACAGGATCAGAACCTGAAGATACTGCCCTAGCATTTGAGACCATTGATATATCATCAGGCAATCCAGAAAATTCTGATAATGATGTAGTAATAGTACCCACAAGGACCACTGAATTATCAATCTTCAATCCAAATCAATTTCAAGAGGTGGAATTTGAGGATGAGGGTGACTGGGATGATTCCATATTTGAAGCTGTAAATCTTGTACAAGGCACTGCTTTAGAGAGGGATGTATCATTATTAAATGATGGTGTTAACAGGAACACATTAACACATTGGTACCCATACCAAAACCAAGAGGCGAGTTTACACTCAGAGCTATCAAACATCTCAGGGAAAATTAATGACACTTCTGGATTTTAGGCTCTGATTGGTACACTTACGCAGGGATATATGAGGTGCTCAATTTCACGTAGCATGTATTCTCAAATGTGCCTTATTCTCTCCATCACTGGGTTAGAGCTACCTCATTGGAATACCATAAGGAACACTAGTGAAAGCATTAGGATGCTCTTAAATTTTCATGTGATGGAAAATGAAAGTATTTGGAACCAGAAATGCTTTTCTTTGAGCATCCCACAGATCCTAGAACAAGTAAGTCATATTGTTATATCCCTTTGCTTATGAACATATTGCAGAGAGATGCACCAATCTTTACATGAACATGATTCAATGTTTGAATAACAATATTGGATATCTTTGATTTGAGGTAAATTATTCTAATGGATACTGAATAAATTTATAATGTTTTTACCTAGGAGATTTCAAAACCATATGTGCATCCACATTTGTATTTCTACCCAGAGGATCCAAATGGCCAGAATATATTCAAGTTATCCCAAAGTAAGAAATGGCGGGAGGAATTAGGACCTAATGAGCGAGTTCAAATGGCTGTCAGCAATGATAAGCATTTTTACATCTTTGAACCCACTCAGTTGAAATCAGGAAAAGTGGTAGTTCCAGTTTACTTCTACAAAATGAATAATGAAATATATGCCAAGTGTACCAAGCCATTCATTTCGCCAACAAGCCATGACGCAAAGGTGCTCAAAATTGAATTTGAAGGAGCACTGGAGTTCACTTCCAACCGCCTACAAGCAATCAAAGTTTCAGAATTTAAAAATATATACTCTGAAATTATCTGGGGAAATTTTGGTAAATTGGCAGAGGCATGCAAATCACTCATTTGGGGTAAGTGAAACCTTTGTTCAGAGTTGAATTTTTCTTGGTTGTTGACATGCCTATTTCTGGTTTCATTTAACAGAAATAGGCAATGAAATACCACTCACATTGCCCAATAAGTGGAGATTCATGTCAAGAGGAAGAGTGATACGCCACATGCCCATAAACTTGTATTGTGATGATACATCTGGAAATATTTCCAAACAATTTAACAAGCATGTCTCTTTTTATTTCACGCTTTCCGGACTTCCCCCAAATGTGGCCAATCAAGAGTTCAACTGTCACTTTGTGACCACCTAAAATCAGGCAAGTGTATTGGAGTTGGCTGATAAAATAACAGATGACATGAAGTTAGTCAGTTACTCTGCAATCATTACTCCTGTTTATTACTGACCAGTGTGAATTTTAGTGATTTGGCTAGAGGGGGACATGTTGCTTATGATTATGAGTTGGGACAGGATGTTTTAATCATGAGTGTTGTGTTATGCTTCCAGGGGGATTCCCCGATGCATGCAGAGGTGACCTGCACTCACATGCCAAATGCATCCTTGAACTCATGCCGCATGTGTAAGCTGAAAGCTGCCAGTATTGAAGATAGACGCAGCCTCCAATACATCCAGCATTTTATAGGACGTGATACTCAAGGACATGTGGTAAGGATTTCCCTGTTTTGGCAGATTGATTGATTAATTCATGAGAACATGTACATTTATGGTGTGTTACTCACAAGCTGATATACTTTTCTTTTGGATCACAGTGCAGACCATCCCCAAGGACTTGGAAGGAGACCCAAACAACGGCCAAATACTTGTGGAGACTTTCCAAAACTGAACCCAAAACTGTGGTAGACAGCATGATCACCGATTTGGGGGTTAAGGATAATATTAACAAACAGGCTATGGACATTATGAGAGAAGGGAATGATCAACAATTGATAGAAAAAATAAGAAGATTAGATAATGAAGATGATCAAGACCAGCTTTTCAGTCCCATCATGAGGCTCAAAGGTGAGATTTTCTATCACATTATTTGATAGTTTACTTTATTGAGGTAAAAATACTGGTTTGTTACTTTATTTCAGGATTTGATGGGTGCAAGGATACACCTGTTGAGATCCTTCATGTGTTCCTTCTTGGAGTTGTGAAGTACCTGACAGGGGATTTCATGAAAGGACTCAAAGCATGTCATGTTGAAAGATTAATGGCATCATGGGAATCTTTCAACAAAAATTCACTTAACATTGAAACCATTAACCCATTGAACATGGCCAAACACCATGGTAGTTTCCTTGGAAAACATTTCCGGATTGTTTTGCAAGCAGCCCCTTTTGTGTTCTATCAATTTATGTCAGAAGAGAAAAGGCTACTCTGGATCTCTTTGTGCCGGCTTTCAACTTATATTTTTCAAACCCGGATTCCTGACGTGGATACCTATTTAGTAGAACTCAAAATAAGGATTGATGATTTCATGTGGCATATTATCAAGATGAATTGTCAATGGGTGAACAAGCCCAAACTTCACATTCTTCTTCACTTACCTGAATGCATTCAACGATTTGGTCCAGCCACCCTCTATGCAACTGAAAAGTTCAAGAGCTTCAATGGGGTTTTGCGAAATGAATCCATGCACTCCAACCGTCACAGTCCAGGCAGAGACATAGCCATCAAATTTGTCAATGAAGCATGTTTACGACTAATTCTTTCAGGGGGGCCACATTGGAACCACAGAACTCATGGAAGATTTATTGCTGATCCACAGGTTACTGATGTATTCAGGGATCATCCACAAATACAAAAATCTCTTGGATACAACCATCTACTTGTTACATCCCACAACCAAACACCCTCTTTCATAACTACCCCCCTCCCCAAAGGAGAAATGGAAGGTGTTCCAGATTTTTTGCAAAGAAGATTTCCCCACCATAAAATCAAACAAATTCACCAGTTGAGACTATTACAACATGATGTATTGAAGAAAGACTATTTTGTTTTGGTAAGTATCTTCTACCAGAAAAAAAACATCATATTGAACCAGCTGACCATGGGACTCACATGTTATAACCTCAGGTCAAAAAAAATACAAGTTCAGGATCCACCAAAGATATTGAATGTGTTGAATCTATATGGTCTGCCAGTTTGGAGCATCAAACCCGGTATTTTGTCAGGGCCAGGCAATTTTTGCAAGGGCCAATCAATCCATTTTATCAGATGAGAGAGCTAGATGTCACAAGTCACGTTGATTATTTTGAAGCATCTGTATGTATAATTTCCCTCAAATGTCTCACATGTTGAATTCAATCTGGATTGTTATCATTTGGCCAATTGAAACCTACTATTAAACACCTTAAAATGGCCAGGATATTGTTGCTTGCCTCAATACCCAACACAATTGTCAATCTGGAAGATGCCAAGTGGTCAAGGGATCCAGGAACAAAGGCCCCAATTATGAAGGCACTCAAACAACATTGAAGATCTGTCATAATGACAAAAAGAGCTTCATATTGAATTCTGCTTCATTGCGAGATCCTGTAACCCATCGTGAATTGGCAGGACTCAACACTTATTACCATCTCAACTGGGCCACTGCCATTGAGACTGGTAGGGCCCAGTGGCTTCCAAATCCAACCAACCAGACCTCACAGACACGTTCAAGCATCCTTGCCCCAAGTTTGATTTGATTGTTGTCATTTTTGGATGACAAACCTACTGAATTATCCCGTCTTTCTTCAAAAATAAAACATGCCATTGAATCACATCTAAAACAAACATGGTGATGAATAATACCCACTAAAATAAATATACTTTGAATTACATTTCAAGAATACATGCTAAAATAAATATACATGCAGTGAAACTAAGCATACTCAAGACAATGCTGAATAAATACCAGCACTGCCAAATATACAAAAGATCCAATTAAACCTGTTATTCAAGCATTCAAAACACACACCACTCATCCCAATGTATTTTTAGAAGATATATTGGCAACCCTTTTCTATCAATTTATTGCCTGTAAATCCAACTATGTGAATTGTGCATCATACAAGTAATCCTTATCCTTGAATCATTTTTTTTCTTGAAATGAAAATGGCCATTTGCTCATGTTATTTGATGCCTTGCCCAGGTCTTTTACTCCAGTTGTTGGGTTGGGTTGAAACATCCAAGGAAATGATCAAATGGATGTTTCAACCCTGTGTGCTTTGTAAAATGGACCCAGAAAACTGGCACTGAGGTTTCATTCAATTTGGAATTTTGGCCAAGGCAAATTTTTTACATGGATGATTTGAAATTCCATGCTTTTAACTTCAGTGTATGGTGATCACTTTCTGCTCCGGAGTATTCCAAAAGGGACCCATTCTGTTCCAAAAGCTCACAAGGAGGGGCCCCAAGGCTGCCTTTGATTCAATCACCCACCTCTTGTGCGGTCCCTGGTCAGCATGCAGCAAGATTTAGCTCAGGAATCATCAGACTGTGCGTTGAGTGGAATGCACTTAAACAACTCATCTCAAATTGATTTTGTCTGCCTGCCCGCTGATGATGGAAGTTGAGCCTCACACGGAAGGCGAAGGCAGTCATTTTGCGGCACTTGAAGAAGGCAACCCTAAGTCCCAAAATTTTGCATTCAATCCTCCACCAGCGCAAAGGAAAGGAAAAACCAGCCTGATTAAAAGCAAAACGTTGGTTTTGCACCACTTCCAGCGCCCTATTTTCATTAGGCTGACTTCATTGCTCTTCTCCCAGCAGGCCTGATGGTTCGCCGCAAAAGTCGCCGTTTTCATCCGCTTGCAACTCAACGCTCTTGGAGGCTTTGCCGTCCGATGTACATTGATCTTGACCGCGAGGATACCCCCGAGCCCAGAGCCGGCGCCCCTCATGTTGCTGGCCGAAACATAAGTGAACCTGTTGTTGTTGAACGTGCGCATGAGGCACTCATGGCCGCTGGACCACTCCCTGTGGCCAACCCAAACGTCCAAACGTCCGAAAGCCCCACTAACACCACTGGAGCCACTTCCAACCTTCCCGGAAACCTCCCAGGTTCTTTGGCCCCACCAAATGGTCACTCGACATCCAACCATGAAGAAAACCACCCCAGACGCATGCCACCGGCACCGACTTTGGCTGAACAATTAAATGCCAACCCCTTTGTCGCTCGTGTGCCTTTCCCACCGGAACAACCAGCCATGGAGGCCATCGGTCTGGAGACCTATCTCAACATTGCTCACATACCTCGCGACAACCTCCGTACTTGTTCCCGACTTCTGGTCCACGGCATCGGCCATTGGACGTTGTAGGACTCCTGGGACGGATAGACACGGTAAAGTATATGTATATCAAAAGATCCCTTGAGGGGGAAATAAATTGCAAATAGGTTGAAAGGCTATTACAACTTACGGGTGGTTTGAAAGACCTGCCCCTCTAATTGTACTAAACAAATAACTAAGAGTCTTGTAATCAATATTTAAGAATATGCGGCTGATTCCAAGATAGATCTTACTTTTGTAAAGTAATCTCTATCAGACCTAGATCACGTATCAATCTACTAATGAATCTGTTACAACTTCAGGTTAATAATGGAAACTGTGGCGCTTATGGTTGAGCGCAAGACAGTTGAATTTGTTATTTAGAGTTTGTTAATGATCTCTTCCTCGAACAATTTCTTGCTAAGGCACTTTAATCAAAACTAGAGCTCCGGTGTTACTACTACTACTACTTGTTATTTGTTATTTGTTAATAATACTACTTATGTTAATTTTGTTATGGTTCAATGGTTCTGATTCTACTACTTATAAATCTCTGACTTTACTTAACTAATTCTCTGACACGCACACTACTAACTAATTGTGACCAACTTACTCCTCGGCAGGTTGATGATACTATATTCACTAACTAACACTAATTCTAACTCTTCAAACTTTACTGACACTCCAGAACACTTCCGGTAGCTCAGGACCAAACTTACTGCTCTGAGAGACTGTTGTAGGCTGATGGGGGAAAAGAGGATCCTGGTGGAGAGAGGCCCTCCTTTTATATTGAAGAGTGAGGGATTTCTGCTGCAGGGGACTCCTTGTGAGACATTTTTGCTGCAGGTAACACCCACTAGCACAGCATGATGTCATTGGTTGCTATGAAACCAAGCCATGTAGCATGTGCTGAAACATTCCAAAGCAGTAATCCAGTACAGTATACAGTCTTATGAGATCTGTTACTCAGAAACCAAATCCACATTCCAAATGTTCTGTGTTTCATCTGAACAGATGAAGCAACGGATGGAACATCAGATGAAACACTCACTTACTTCCTTCCTTGTTCATTTTTCAGGGTCAAAGCCTCTCCGCCTATCTTCCTTCTCCCCTCCTCATCAACTGTCTTATGTCCTTTTCCACTGATCATACAATAAATAAACCCATATTACATAACCTACCCACGCACACACCACGTCTACATATGTATATACCTTACCCTGTTGTTGTATGTCCTACGTAATGAATGATCCTCCTCTTGTAATGAATGATAAGTGTGTGTAACTATCACCTATTCTGTATGCTTTTGGCATTGGAACAGGCACAGCACACCACATCCCCCCCCCAACTTAATGCTGTCCGCAGCATTCCTGATGGAAATGCCAAAAGAACACTACTCCTCGTAAT